GGGGGGGGGGGGGGGGGGGGGGGGTTCCGTGGAACTCAGCTGCTCCTGCCCATCCCTTTCCACGGGAAGGGGCAGGAGGGCCGCTGGCTTCCCCGGACCCTCCCAGAGCAGAGCGAGAGCCCAGCACGGCCCTCTCGCCAAGTACCGGAGGCTCGGCCCGCACGGCGTGAGAAGCAGCGCACTGGGAAAGCCAGCAGATCCCGGGGGGGGGGGCAGGTCTTTCGGGGCCGTGTGGCAAGGCAGCGTTGTGCAGCGTGACGGCACCTCCATGCTCGGGGGCACCGCCGGCCGCGCGCATTGCCACACTTTGCTGTGCTGGGCGGCGAGTGCGAGACGCCTCCGCTGCGCTTGCCGGAAGATGTGGGCGCCACATCGGCAGATTTGCTGATGCGCCGGCAGGAGATCCCCTGCAGGAGGCTCCCACTGACTCACCCTGCGCTCCGCCGCCCTGGCCACGCACGCACCCCGGGGCGCTCCTGTGGACCGCCGGGCCCACCCGGGGCTCCGGCCACCTTCGGCTGCAGCAAGATGCCGGGGAGAAGCGTCCCCTGCAGGTGGGGCCGTGCCCCCGGGAACGGCTCTGGCCCTTTCCCTCCCGTCTTTCCCCTCGCCTTCCTTCCCGCTTCCTCTAAGGCCACCGCCAGCTTTGCCCCACGCTGCCTCTCTCGCCCGCCTTCTTTTCGGCAAGGAACCACACGGGCTCGTGGCACCGTGTCCCTCCTGCCTCCGTGATCCAGCCAGCCTCCCGGAGGCTGGGTGCTGGGCAGGGCCGCCTGAGACTGGGAGCGGCCAGGGTCCAGATGTGGCCGCCGGCTCCTGGAACTGGGTCCGAGGCGGTCCAGGTGGGTGATTCGCGGGGATCGTGAGCGGGGGCACGAGGGGCTCGCGGCGTTCTTGGAGCGCGGCTTGTGGCTTGGCCGGCACACGAAGCGCCGTGGCATCGTCCCCGATGCAGAGACGGCTGAGCTCCTTCCTGCGGCTGGAACGGGCCGGCGTCTCCCCTTCACACCCATCTGCCGCTCGACTTTCTGCTGTCAGTAGACGCTGAAGTGCAGGCCGCCCTGGGCTCCAACCGCGGCGTCACCCTCTCCGATGAATGAGTCTTTGTGTGCGCCGCACAGCCCTCCGGATGCTTCCGCAGGCCCTCCCAGACAGGTCACGAGCCGGAGGCCGGGCGGGCACCAAACTCCACACGCGGCCAGGTGCCTTGATGAGCGGAGGGCTTCCAGGAGGCAGGGACTGTGTGTGTGTGGGGGGGGGGGGGCAAAGGGCCGTGCTGGGCGTACCGGAGGGCTGCGCAGGCGGGGAGGGGCCGTTCCTTCCCCTGCAGCAAACCCACCCTTGGCCTGTCCTCACGCCAGCCACTAAATTCCCTCCGGGAGCAGGCGTGGCTCAGAAGGCACAGAGCATTCGCCACGCTCCGAAGCAACCCGGCTGCAAAAGAAGAGGCTGGGGACCAGGGTGGAGGCAAGGGACTGCAGCCCCCCCCCCCCCCGTGTCTGCTTCAGCCTGGATCTGGGCTACCCTCCGTGCAGAACCGGCTGCCGCAGTTGGGACTAGATCACTTCAGGCCGCAGCTGTGTGTGTGGGGGGGGTGCATTTTTGAATGCCCGCGCCAATAAAATAACTCTTTCCATGGAGAAAGCAAGCAGATCAAGTTGCCGGCTTACTATGGAAAGGGAAGGGCTTGGCGGTTTGAAACAAGCCGGGGTCCCCGTGTGAAAACTTCAGTCGCCACTTGGGACTGGATTAGCGCAGTGCCGTGTTCGGGGGGATCGAACGCTGGTTTTTTTGGGGGGAGGACTGAAGCTCCACGGCCGCAGACCCTGCCTCCCCCCAGCTGTGGGGGGATCTCGCCTCCTGCCCCCGCCCCCAGCCCCAATCTGGTGCAGCTCTCTGAGCCCAGAAGCCTGTTTATCTTTCCAGCTACTTTACACATTTTTCTGTGTTTGTTTTCCAAAGTCATTACTCTCCAGAAGGGAGATAAAAATGTGTACAGAGGCGGCCAGGGCAGCTGTTTCTGTGTTCTTCGCGTCCTGCTCTGCTCAAACGACGCCTCCTCTTTGGGAGCTGGAGGACACACAGAGGAGAGGCAGAAAAGATCCAGGTGGTGCGGTCCCAGTTCAGGTCCAGGCGAGCCTCAGCAACCCGCCTCCCCAGAACATCCCTCTGTTGAATCTCGCCCTGCCTGGGGCCCCGACAAGGCCCCGGCCACACGAACCCGCGCTTGGTTTCTGCGAGCCGACGACCCCTTTCAGCTCAACAGGGCCACCTTGGGAGCAGTTCACACAGCTCCAAAAACCCAGGTCAGCAAAGATGGCCAACACCCACCAGAGGCTGGGCCTGAGCGGGCCGAGTGGGTGGTTCCGCCCCTTGGCCCCCTCGGATGAAGGAACGAGCAAGGGGCATCCCAGCACCTTCCCCGCGAAGCGCGGCTACCCGGGGTCTGCGCCTTCTCTTCCCGCATGAGGATATTCCCCCCCCCCCCCGTGCTTAAGCCCAGCTGCCTTGACTCTAAGAGGGGCAGCCACGGAGACCCTTCTGGGGTGCAGCCCGCACCCCGGTGGGGAGTCCCTCTCGACCCGCTACGTGGCCCCCGAGGGGTGCCCGTGGGCACCCAGGGTCCGGTGAGGGGAGCGCTTCGACCACAAGCTCTGCCAGATACCACGACTTTCTGGTCTCCAAAAGCGAATCGGCCAATTTAGATCTGGACGCTTTAAGGAAAGAAAAGGCACGGCCCACGGTTTGGCTGCAAGAACTCGCTGGACTGGGCATGACTCACTCGGTGCTAAGGGGCGGGAAAAGGGGAAACGGGACGGCTCTGTCCACCCCCTGCCCCAACGTGCCCCCAGCAGCTGGCCTGGGCCCCCGGCTCCGCTTCTCAGCCCCGCCAGATGTGGGCCAGAGGCCACTGCGTCACCAGCCCGGTCTGGGGAAGTCCCGCCTCGCTCCCCTCCCCCGAGCCAGCGCCTCTGCCCCGTCCCAGCCCTCCCAGAGGCCCTCTCCTGCCCTCGCCCTCGTCCCAGGCAAGCCCACGCAGAGGGTTGGGGCCTCGATCCGAGCCCACGCCTGCCTCCGCCTCCACCACCGCCTGCCCTGGCCGTGCCCTCGGCTTCCATCCTGCCCCGGTCCTGGTGCCACCCGGGAGTCTCGCCTGCTCTCCGTGGGCACAGCCACCCTCGGCTGCGACATCCGTGACACAGAGAGCGGGACCCTCTTCCCTCTTCGAGGAAGCAGCGCGTCGCGGCCCCTCAGGAGCTCGCCGAGGTGCGCCTGTCCGACTCCGCGGCCACGCGGGGATTTTGCGGGCATGAGCAACGCCCCGAAGGCCTCCCCGTCCCCCCGGTCCCACTTCCAGCCATCGGCAGCAAGGGACTTGCTGGCGGGAGCAACTTCCTCGTCAATAAATACCCAAATGGCCATTAATTAAGGCCCTTCCGACGCGGATCTCAGCAGTCCAGTTCGGCGCACAGCACAAGACGCCTGTGTGCATCTTAATGACCGGCACGCGGCCTGCCGATTTTATCCCAGGAGGCGGCTTCCTTCCCCGAGAAGCCTTGGCTTGGAAGCATGAGGCGGGTGGGGGTCCACGCATTGCCCACCCCAGCCGGCGCGGCCTCCTGGCGCAGCCTTCTGCCGGGCCCTGTGCAGCCCTCGTGGGCGGCGACGGTGGGGCGACTTCACCTCCTAGGGAAGGCGGCGCAGAAGGACGGGGCGGAGGGAGGGGACCGCGGAGGGCAGCTGGGAGCGCGGCACTTGCAAAGAGCCCGGCCCTCTCCCAGGTCCCCGCACGGTTCTGGCCCGGCCAGGGCGATCCGGACACCCACCCTGGGCCAGGACTCTGCCTCGCCCACCCGCTGCCCTCGGCGCCAGGCCGCAGGAAGGGTGCAGGCAGCCCCCTCGCCGGCCGCCTCCTGGCTCCTGGGCAGGCGCCAAACAGCCCAGGTGCCCCTCCTGACGTGCCCCTCCCAGGAGGGGGCCCTGCACGAGGCAGGCCAGGAGCAGAGGTCCTCTCTTCAGGGAAGGACCTGCCTCCAGCGGGCAGAAATGCATGGCCTCCCCAGGGCACAGGCGGGGCCGAGGGAGCCCTTCGCACAGGCTCTCCGTGGTGGGAGATGCCGCGGAACGAACAGGGGCCTTCCCCAGGCAGAATTATGCCCCCCCCCCCGGGACGATCGCCCGCAGCCCGAGGATCTGTCCGCACCAGCTCTGCAACGCGGCGGGGAGCAGGCAGGGAAGCCTACCCCATGCGCTCGGTGCTCGTGCCGCCCGCAAACGCACCTGCTTGGCTGGAATACAAGTGAGGCGCCAGAGGCGGGCGAGGGCTTGGCACCTCGCCCAGCTGGCCAGAGCATTCCTCTTCCCAGCAAAATGAGACCAAGGGCAGCCGGACCCCAGAGGGCCGCGGACGGAGGAGCCAGCTGCTTCGTTCCGGCAGAAAACGCATGCGGAACGAGCCCAGCTGTGCAGCGACCGGAGCCGAGGGAAATTTGGCCGGGCAGCCCGAGCAGCCCTGCCTGTTGCTGAAGGAGCCCGGAAGGGAGAGCAGCGGGGAGCCCACCCGGTCTGGCCAGGGGCCACTGGGGTCAGCGCTCTCCCATGCAGCGGCCGGCCAGCTGCCCACAGAGGTGCCGCAGCACCCCGCACCCATGGTCCCCAGCAGGCTGCCTCTGAGTCCTGCTGCCCTCCCTCAGAACAGAGCAGTCCTCAGCGGCTTGGCCTTTCCAGGTGGAGGGGCAGCTCTGGCCCCGGGGCCCCAGGCCCCTTCCAGCTCCCCTCTGAGGCGCGGGGGCCAGGGTGGAATGTGATGGGCCCCTCTGCAAGGGACACGCCGAGGCCCCATGAACTGAGGCACGGGCGAGCGCCCTTTGCCCTCTGTCTCCTCTCCGGCCAAAGAGGGTTGGCGGGACCAGAGAACAGCACGGCGGGACGGGAGTCCCCCGCCTCTCTCCCAAGCCGCCCACAACTCTCTGGGACGGGCCAACACCCACCTGCCCCGCAAAGCCCTTCCAGAGGCCCAGTGGGAGCGAAGCGGACCGGCTCTCCACTCCATGCCCTCCTCGCCCGAGCGGGCCTGAATCCCCAGGTGCCACAGGCTCGGAGGCGGAGGACAGCACATTCGCGCCGGAGGAAGCACCTGCTCCGGCGACGCCACGGCCATGACGAGAACCGGCCCTGAGGAAACCGCACGGGGGGGGGGGGGCTCCGAACAGATGTCTCTGGAGCAGCTGGAAACAAAGGGAAGGCCTGTCAGCCAGCGCAAGCAGCCGGCCCGACCCTCGTTTCTGGCTCAGTTTGCAAACGAGGGTTGCAAAGGCGATTTCTACTTCTGCAGAGGAAACCCCCAGCGTGACTCCTTCCCTTCTGCTTCCCTCTTCTCCCACCTCTTCATGGCCATCCGTGTGCGGCCAGAAGGAGGCCTGCGTTGCACAAGAGGGCGCTGGGCGCACGGCGCTGGGCTCCAGCCTGGAAGTGCCCCTGTGCCGGTCCGGATCCGGTCGCTGCTCCTCCGGGCAACAGCTCCTGGGGCCGTTTTCGGCCAAGTCTTTTCGGCTTCCCTGCCTTTGGGCAGGACAGTCTGAAGAACTATTTCACAGTGCAGAACAGGTTAAGATGAAGTCCGGTGAGAACACCGTGAATTTCAGGCACAGGGGTTACGTTACACCGGCATTATGATCACGTTACACTTGCGCTCCAGCCCGCTGCAGCCTGACGTGCCTGATCCTGCCCAGCCTTGGAAGCTAAGCGGGGTCAGGGCTGGTTCGCACCTGGATGGGAGACTGGAGTGCGGCACTGGGCAGGAGGGGGGACCCCGTGGCCTGCCAGGCCCCTTCCAACTCTGCGACTCCGTGATGCTTCCTCTTGCAAGAAACCCACCGCAGCCTCCATCCGCCTCCTCCTCAGCTTATCCTCACAACGACAACCCTGCTGGGCAGGTTGGGCGGGGAGTGAGCCTCTGGCCCCGAGTCCCCCATGTCCCCATTCTCACTACCCCCCCGCCTCCCCTGGCCTGCTGCCTTTCGGGTGCGTTGCACTGCAGCTCCCAGCATCCCTGGCCACTGTCTATGTGGACAGATGCTCTTGGGAGTCGAAGGCCACCCCCTGGAGGGCACCAAGCTGGAGACACCTGGCCTAGGACGGCTCACAGTCCCCCCTGCGTGGTCGCGCCCAGCAAGAACCCGCAGCTTCCTCCGAACCTGGCAGAGCCCAGGAAGCTGCCCCAGAAAGCTCTGGAGCCGGGTGAGTCTCCCAGCTGGTCCAGCTCATCCTGGATGCTGCACTTAGAGAAAGACGAGTGAGGGGGCAGAGCAAAGAGGCGCGGGGAGCTATGCACGATGTGAGCGTGTGGACGGGGAGACCTTCCTCTCCCTCCCCCAGAATGGCAGAACCCAAAGCGCCTGCCCCGAAAGCGGCCGGGGAGCGATGCTGGGCAGGGCAAGGGCACTGCTCGTCCAGGGCGAGGAGATGGGCACCAACGGCGGGGGCTGCCAGGCTGGCCCCTTCCAGCTCCACCAGTCTGTGAACTTACTGCTGTGGGGAGTCTCCAGGCACGTGGTCCAGCCTTCAAAAGGATCCCTGAGCCCTCAGAGTCGCCCGGCTCGGCCTGGGAGCAACCGGCGTGCCATCAAACCGCGGCCAGGAGAGCACCCACTGCCCGGTCCCCGGGAAGTGACCGGCTGCGGTCCCGCTGGGCACGGCCGGCACCGAAGATCGCCGCTCCACGGCTTGGGGAGGAAGGAAATGAGGACCTTCTGCCAACAGCGATCCTGTAAAAACACCCACGCTTGCGTCTCGGGGAGGAAGTGGGTGCCTGGGAGGAAGCTGTGGTGAATTCCTGATGCTTTCTGGCCGTCGTGGCCGTGCCAAGTCAGCAGCTGCCAACCCGCAGAGCGAAGGCCCTCGAAAAGGTCCCGCCAGCGCCTCCGTCACCTGGGCTTAGCCCTCCCTGGGACCGCAAGGCCCCCGCGGGGCCCCACGGCCTCAGCGCCTCGGCCCCCGCAGAAGGCACGCGCTCAGCCCCCTGCCGGGCGGGCCAGCAGGTGGGCCTCGCAGGAGGGGGGCAGGTCCCCGCCATGCGTGTCCCGCCGAGCGCCCCCGCGGCGCTCCGACCCCTGGGCCCCCCTGCTCGCCATCGCCTGCTCCTCGCCTCTCGCTGAGCAGCCCTGCCGGGCATCGCCGTCGGGGCCGCAGGCATGGGACAGAAAGGCCGCTCGGCTGCGCCGGCACTTCGTTCGTCGCCGTGTCGACACCCGTGACTCTGGTCTCCCTTCCTTTCGCTTCCTGTTTTGCGCTTTCCAGGGGCTGACACGGGAATGGGGCCGTTCTTGGAACGGCCCCCCGTTGGGCCTGTCCAGGGCACAGTAGGAAAAATAACGGGAGCCGCCATGACGAGCAGCCAAGTCCACTGGTGGGTGATATCCCCCCCCCGCAACAAAGTGGTAGGACCCAGAGCGCCCCAAAATGCAGGGCGATCTAGGAAGAACCAAATGGGGAGCCCCGCTGTTCTCACCTCTCCTCTGCTAAGTGCAACTAATGCGAAACGCTGCATTTTCCAAAGGGCTCCTGGCAGGTTTCCAAGTGGCTTGTCCGCCTCCATTTCATCATCACAACAACCCTGTGAGGTAGGGTAGGCTAAGACTCCGTGCCCGGCCCAGAGGCACCCAATGGGCTCCGCGGACTACGACTCCAATCTCCCTGGTCCCAGCAGTGCTCTAACCACTAGGCCCTACTGGCTCTGCACGCATCTGCTCCCCTCCGCATTCCTCTCAGGAACCTGAGCTCCCCTCCTGGCTTGAGTGGTTGAGCCCCACCTGGCTGGCTGGAGTCCAGCCACACAGCGGGGGCAGTCCAGATGATGGCTGCCGAGTCCCTGGACCACCTCGGTGGCTGACCTCCAGCTGAAGCGTGCCATTAAACGGGAGACGGGGGCGGAAATGCTTGGGCAGCCCTTGCTCGCAAGTCATTCCGAACGGCCGGCAGCTCCAAGCCAGCCCACCTTCGCCCATACAACCTTGGCCGCAGATTACGATCTTCTGCGGGGGACACAGAAACAGAGCGAGTCGGAAGGGGCCTCTGGGCCATCTAGTCTGACCCCGGCTCCAGCCGGCTCCGCTCACGACACGCCCACCATATGCACGTCCAGCCTGTCCTTGGACACCCGCGCCCAGAGGGACCTTCTGCGTCCAGGGAGGCTGGGCAGGCTGGTGGCCGGGTGCAACCATGGGAGGCAGCTTGTGCTCCGGCCCCTCCTGTGGCAGCCTCTCCCCAGCAAGCTGCTTCTTCCTGCAGCTACGGGGGGGCAGACCCCCCCCCCCCCCGCTGACACCGCAGGGCAGGAGAACTAATTGGTGGGACTTGAGAAGGGGAAGATTCCGGCAAACGCTGAATCTGAGCCGGCCTGGACCACTGGACCACTGTCGGCTTCCAGCTCTGAGCGATGCGGCTGGTCTGGGCAGCCTCCATCATCCCCCCCACGCCCATCATCCCCCTCACTCCGACAGGCAATGCCCCCCGTGCCTCTTAAGCATGCAGCACCTCAGCCAGACCCGGCCGGCCGGGGAAGGGCCTGAGCTCCCAGGGCTGGCCGGGCAACGCGCAGAACCGTGGGGCTTCGTGCTGGCCGAACGTGCCTCGGGGGCCTCCTGGGGGCATCCCCGGGCCAGAGCAGGGCTCGGGTTCTGCTGGGTCTCGACCTGCGCGGCCACAAGGGGCGCTGGCAAGGGGGTCCGGACAGCTCAGCAGGCAGCCGGGGGGGATGCCCAAAGGCCAGGGGGGGCTTCCCGGAAGCTGTTTGCCCCTGCTTTGCCAGCGGAGTAACAGGAGAGCGGAAGATCCACCTCTGCCAAGAAAAACTCGAGGGGGCACCGGGCCGCCCTGCGAGTCCCTCTCCTACGAGGCACGCGACCGCGCGACGCGCCAGACCGGGGGAATGCGGGCACGGCACGGCTCGCGAGGGGGACAGGCGCGTGCACGGAGAGGGGAGGACCCCAGCCACGTCCCGGGGGCCTTCGCCCCTCCTGGCCAAGCCTCTATTTCACAAGAAGCCTGAGCGGTCGCGGAGGAGAAAACCTGCTTACTCGGCTGCCAGTGCAGCCAGGGGGCAAAAGGGAACCGAATCTCCGGCCAGCGTGAGCAGACGCGAGCACAAGGCCCAAAGGAGAAGTTCCCCCGGGGGGCCTCCTGCCACAGAGCTGGGCGGCAATTTCCACGCTCGCTGCCACGGAGGCACCAAGAGCTTTCCTGGATGCATCCGATATCCGGCACCTGCACCTGCTGTCCATGTGGCAGCCTCTGAAATGCTGCGGGGTCAACTTGCCTCTCCATCCGTCCGTCCGTCCAGAACCACACGAGTGGGAGAGAGACACGAGCAATCCAGCTTTCAATACCAGCTTTTGATTCTGATACACGGATGCTACATTTGGGAGCAGGGAGAAAAAGCTGGAGAGCCGGCTCTAAAAGAGAGAGTCGCCACACTCTCCGCCCAGGTTCCCGGCTGCACCAAGTTGGCCTCGCCGGCTCGTCGGCGTAACCGAGGGCCTCCGAGCACTCCTGCCAGCCACCATCAAGCCACGGCGCTTCCTAGCTCGGAGAAAAACAGGTTCTTCGGGCAAGAATGATACCTGCGGATTAGCTGGAGTGCCTTCCCACCTCTCTGCTCCTCAGACTGCTTGCTTCCCACGAGAAGGACGAGCCCCGTGGGTCTCTGCAGGTGCCTGCCGAACGGGGACCCCGCTGGAGGGATGCTGCTCCCGAGAGGCCGCCCCGCAGAGCTGGCGCCCGTCCCCGTGGCCCGCAGGCCTCCGGTCTGCTCCCGCTCCAGGCGGACCACACAGGGCTTCTGCGTGGACCAGGAGACATGCCTGGGAAGAGGCATCTGCGGAGGAAGGCAGAGGGCGGGGGGAGAACCTTTGGCGGGCTGCCCTCCAGCTGCTGGAAGACGGGCGTAGCTGCGACCGAGGAACTCTGGCCGGGCGCCTGCTGGCGAACCAGCCCACGCAGCTCATGAGCGGTTGCCTCATAGAGGAAAAGGAAGGGCTCGGCCAGACTCCGGCCGGGGGAAGAGAAAACGTGGGGAAAGCTTTGATCTGACCAGGCTTCAAAGGAGCGGCGAGCCCATCAGGTGGCAGAGTGTGTCGCCCGCAGGTGAAAGGCGGCCGAGGCACGCACCCCTGCTGGGCAGGAAGCCCCCACGTGGCCCGGGGCCTGCTCCGTCCGAGAGCAGGGAGCGGCTGCTTTGAGCAGGAGCGTGTCCCACCATGTCCCACGGGGTTTTCTTCTTAACTAAACACGCAGACGTTTGCAACACGCCCGCCCGCCACCTCTAGCTCCAGGAGCTCCTGCAGAGCAAAAGAGGCAGCTCGACTGAGCCTGAGCAGGCCTGTCTGGAGAGGAATTTCTGCATTCATCCTGCACAACCCAGGGAACCGTTTCAAATGCGGGAAATTTCACTTTTAAGCATATTCTCATTTCTGCACCACGCTCCTCTGTGCCTGGATTCCTGCGGGAGGAGTCTCTGCCCTGAGGAGCATACAAATGAGCTGCCCCAAGGTGCATTCAAGATTTGCTGATACAGGGGATGGGGAAAGCAGGATGGCAAAACGACAGGGAAGATCATTAGCAGTTGTGAAATTAGCCCTTGTTCAACCTTCTGGTGCAATGCCTGGATTTGCTCCTTGACAGTCTTTGTCACCGTCTCCCTTCAAGTGTGTCGAGTGGCTTTGCACCGGGTTCAACTCCACAACAACCCTGCAGGGTAGGGCCTTGCGAATATAGCAATATCACCAACACAGGTCAAAACAGCCCCTGTAAGAAAAGCATTGGCATCTTTGGCACACACACCAACGATCTCGGGCAGGCTTCTCCATCCTGGAGACCTTCCAGATGCTTGGGACTACAGCTCCCATTAGCCCCAGCCAGCACAGCCAATGGCCAGGAATGCCAGGAGTCAGGCAGCCAAACGCTGGGAGGGTGTCAGATTAGAGGAAGGCGCCCAAGGAGAAGGTCATGCTGAGCATTCACTCCCCGGGGACGAGACTGAGCCGGTATTAAAGACACGGATGCATTTAATGCATCCATTTTCTCTTCTTCCAAAAAACCACGTCGGGATTAGGGGATTTTCATCAGAAACTTGCTGGGGAGAGGATTAAAGAGCACGCCTGCCCGCGTGCCAGGGGCCGGATCCTGCGCTGACAGGCTTGGGCGGGGGGGAGAAGAACAAGGGTTCGTGCTCTGGATGGCGCAGGTTGGGCCAAGCAGGAGCGACTTCCCGCCTCTCTTCAGAAGCCTCCGCCTGCACGCCAGAATGGGTGCCAGGGCCGGTGCGGATCAGGACCCCAGAAGGGAGCTGGGTCAGGTTGAGACCTCATTCCCCCGTGAAAAAGAGCCAAAAGGGCTTCCGAGACAGTGCCAGGCCGCGTCCTCGGCAGGCCGGTGTCCTCCCTCTGGTCCTTCCCTAGAAGGGGGTCTCGCTGGGACAGCCATGGACTGGATGCCGTCCTGAGCCCCCCTCGTCTGGACGTCTCTGTCGTGCGAGAGCGCTGGCGCTTGGGACCAAAATATTCTCCTTATCTGCCAAAAAGGAATGTCCTAAAGTTGCTGCTTTGGGCCGATGGAATGACCCAATTTCCCCTCCAGGAGGTTCTGCATTGAGAAAACGGTGACAT